TTTTTGGCAATTGTGTTCTGGCAGCTCCCTGGAAGGCAAGGCCAGGACACAAAGAGGAAGACAGGAAGCCGGGAGCTGGCCATGTGTCCTTGGCAGGCAGTAGTGCGGCAGGGTGAACCACCTCGTCCCTGCCAAACCAGAAACAGCGGGGAAAGCCCAGCTAATTGGCAAGTCACAGCCGGCTACAGTGTACATCCTCAGCTTTAAATGCCTGATAAAGTTAAATAGCATGCCAGACCCTAATCTACTTAAACAGGATCCTCCTTCACTTTCAAAAACTTAACTTGCCCATTTGTGTTTCCTTAAGGAAGTGGTAAGGCAGCATCTTAGAATATAAGGGCTGGAAAACTTAAAAACAAAACAGCCAAAAAAGTAAAGATGTGTTGGAGTCTCATTATGCTTACAGCCACTTTACTTTGTGAAAGGGCCATGTATGTTTGTGCTTTTGGTTTTAGCTAATGAGACTTCCACTTGCTCATTTATTTTTATTTAAAAGAAACTCTCAAGTCAACATTGCAGACTGATTATGACTGCAGTTCATTTGGAGGATCCAGGCATTTTTTTTTTTAATTTCACAAAACTCCTAAAGATACCCAGGGAAACTGCAGAGGTGCCCCCAGTTTCCAGTCAGCTATTGTATTTACTTACACGTTAGTTTGCTCAATCATATTTGCTAAGGTATTTCTGCATATACTAGCATAAAATCACCACTTTCTGAGTCTTTTACGACTAAAATGGGGAATCACACAGGGAGAACAGGAGCAGAGGGGATTGTCCAAATAAACTGCTCCTCAGTGCTGCTGCTAACAGAGTGAAAATCCAGGGACCTGGAGCCTGGAGCATAATTTTGCCCCTAGGTCTGAAGGCTTGTTAAGAGCCATTTAAAGGGGTGTGCTCAGTAGTTGGGCATATTTCCTTCTATTTTCTGTGAAACTGTTCATGACTTCTTCAAAACACAAACCAAAATTTCAAATCAGCTTCTCCTCCTTAAAATATAATAGTCAGTGGTGAAATTTGATGAAGAAAATGCAAATTTCCTCTCAGAATCGATAGAAGATTACAATAAACATAATCTACTGTTTTCATCAGAAGTTTCTTAAAGTCTACAGAATATTCATGCTTTAAGCAACCCAGGACCTCAGAATCTGTTTCAGTAAAGTTAGACCAAGGAATAAAACACAAAGCCAAAACTCACATACTCTCTGATCACGATCTGAGATAAGAAAATAATAATCCTCATGTCCAACACTAGGTCTCAGGATCAGTAAGTCAAGTGTGTCTTTCAGCTCCAAAATTACTATTTTTTTTTTAAGACACAACTTGACTTTCTCAGACTCTACTTGGTTAACTTTTCACACTAAGTATCCTCGGCTTTTGGAAATTCTCCTTCCCCTTTCCTTTAGGGCACCACTCTTTTCTAGGTCCAATCCTCTATTTCTGAGGGCTCCTTTCCTGTCTTGATGGCTATCTCCTTCTCTTCTGTTGGTCTCTTAAATGTTGGTGATCCCAAAGACAACCTATCCCACTTGGCCATCTTCTTGTCTTTGTATATTCCTCCTCGGCAAACTCAGCTAGGTCCATGTTTACAAATACTACCCATTTTTTGAGAATACTGTATCTCTATATCTAGCACTAACGTCTTCTTTAACTGCAAAACTCCTCCTGATGTTACTAGTGCACAACCTTTGTACACTCTCACCCCCCTCCCCCAACCAATCCACACCTCAGTTAACGGCATTCACAGCCATTCGGTTTCCCAAGCTGAAAACGCTCATTCCAGAAATCCCATCTCCCTAAAGCCTCACATTCAGTTGTCAGCCCAGACTCTACCTTTCAAGCCCATTTCCCCATCTCCTTCCCAACTGGTGCTAAGTCCCTTATTGAGCTTCACATTTTTACCTCACAATAGCCTCAGCCTCCTCAGGCCATAATGATTCACTCTTCACACTATAACCAGACTCCATCCTCTGCACAGCCATCAGAAATCACACTTCACCCCTTAAAATACCTTGGTGGCTTCCAATTGCTAGCTAGAATAATCTACAACCTCCTTAGTACAGCATTCAAGGTGCTCTAAAACCTGGCCCTGGCCTAGCCTCACTCTTACAGAAACCATCACCCTTTACTCTCCCCCTCACACCCACATCCAACTTCTTAATATTCTTCTTAACAGTCCTAGAATATGCCGTGTAACTGCAGGTCTGTGCCTTTGCTCATATGGTTTCTATGCCTGAAATATCCCTTATTTGATGCAAGACAAACTCCTAATTCATCTTTAGGAGTTCTTAAATTTCATCTGTTACATCCTTCCTGAACCTTATTGCCCCACATAATGAGCTCTCCCTCTGGGGCCCACGTGGCCTTGCTCACACTTCAGTGCAGGGCCCAACCAGTGCATTATGGTTGGTTGTTTATACATTACTTCTCTCCAAGATTGTGACCTCCTGTATCCCAACTTACCCTGAATAATTTTGCAAATCTATTTAAATGGCATAAAAATGTTATCTTGGATGTACTATCCAGGTAGAAACTGAGACAAAGAGCATTAATTCCCAAAAGTAAGACAAAGAAATCTTTAAAAAAAAAAAAAAAAGTCATAATGAGTTATCAATTTATACAGGTAACTAACATTCAATATTCTGATTGTGATATATACAGATGATATTTATCCATTTGTTTAGTTTTTTTAAAAGGACTGAACACCTACAGTGGTCCATGTATCATCCTTGGAATTCAGTCTACAACAGTCAATAAAAGATTACCTGTTCCTGTCTTCATGCAGCTCATGGTTTCATTTGTACTATGTTGACTTTCATTCACTTGCTAACAGGTAAAATGTGCTCTCTATACAATCTACAAATAAGAAGAATCTGTAATCATTACGTTTTGAAAATAAATTGACACTTTTCACACATATACAAAGATTTAGTAGTGGGACAAGCTTTTTCATTTAATTTTTGTTTATAGCAACTAAAACATGAGAGACTAAAAGCCACAGACTGCAAAAGTATTATTTAGCTGTAATAAGTAGAATGTGTAAAGGTGGTATGATGACAAAACAGCTACTGCAGCATGAAATAATGAGATTATAAAATAATGAGACCAGAGATTTAAAATTCTCTGACCTCTATTATCTTTCAGAATAGCTGAAAGGGGTCTATTGACTAGTTTGGGAGCTGGAGAGTCAAATACTATTTCAGAATGAAAATTACTTTGTGGTCACACCCCATTATAGAATATTGATGGAGCCAGACTACATGAAAGTCTCAAAAGGAGTACTGAGAGAAAACATCATAAGAACTGGTTTTCTGCTACTAAAATCCATCCTCAAGAAAAAACAAAAGCTAATTTTAAAAAATCATAACCAAGGCAAAGTTTCTAAATGGAATAACATGAAAATATCAGTTGTACATTTTTTGCCTTTTAGAAAAATGACCCATATGTATAGCATTTTATATGGTTTTCTCTAATGTATCTGAGAAATGTGCAAGCGAATCTATGCAAGGAGATATCATGGATTGTGATGTCATATTTCTTATGAAAAAAATCCCCTTTACAATGTCAATTAATACCAAATTTAGCTTTAAAACTCCATGACCTCTACCATTTTTTAGGTTAGCTGAAAAGGATCTATTGACTAGCTTTGTGAGCTGAACAGTTGAATGCTACTTACATAGAAAATTATTTCTTTCACTCCATAAGAATAATTATCATGGCGATCACACAATTATTATAATTATATCTGTAAGAACTGTTATCGGGAATTTATCTCTGAAACAGTTTCATGCATTGCAGGGGACATTTATCTTTTTTAATGATCATCAACACGAGTATCTTTTTGTAGCTATATAAGTGATTTTTACCTCTTTCTATTAATATCCTCTTGCATGCTTTAGAAGCCAAAGGAGACAGCCCCAACACTTTTTTTTCCTAAAGCAATTGTTTCAGTTAAGCCAGGCCAATGGCATCTTTTGAGACAGAAAGCTACCCTTCCCATTCACAGCAACATAACATTCACAATGTGCTTTCCTAAATGGATGGAAAACCCCTCAAAAAAGCCCCTCAAATCTGTGTTTCATAAACTGTACTCTTAGCAATAAAGTTTATTACAGACCTAAAGTATCTGCATAAACCCGGTTAATTGAAAAGTGGGTGGAGAAGGCTGCCAAATTAAATGTTTACATTAGCACAGCTGTATTGTAAAAACATTCTGCCCCCTGTGCTTTGTAATTATAAGATATTTCTGGACTGTGTATCTCTACAAAGTTTATCTCCACTGCCAAGAGTGTCTTGGCACGGAGCGACTGCAGTTTTTGGCAGCCAGGAGCTCTCCGCGCGGGCAGGATCTAAAATGGCTGCCAAGCGGCCTCCTGAAATGTCGCCGGCGTGGGCCCGCCTCACCAAGGGCAAAGGCCAACCCTGTTACCACGGCAGGGTCTAAAGTCTGTCTCACAGGAAGCCAAAATGTGTATTTCCCTCATAAATAAGACTTGGTACCACAACTTTTGTGTTGTAGTAGTTAAAGCTGTTTGAAAAACTAACTACAAAGGAATATTGGAATACTACCAATTAGAAAATGGTGACGAGGGGTCTTTTATGAAATTCTGCTGACCTCAACATTTCAATCACACAAAATGCCCACAATATTTTCTGCTGATTAAAGAAACTCACTTAATTTGTGGGGGGAAAAAAAGGTTGGAAAAAAAAACCCAACAAATTCTGACCATATTAAAACATACTATAGAGAAGCATCAGCAAAGCCAACACTTTCCCATTTGCAATGGCATGATTTGGACATAAACTTATAACCTCTATCAAAGCATATGTGCATGAAAAATAGAAACAAAACTAATTTGTTTTCTTCTCATCCTTTAAAAAGGATATGTTCCTCTTACAGCATTAAACAACATTAACAAAAGAAAACCTTTTCATATCCTTCTATGGCAAAGGCCTCAACATTTGAGAAATTCGCTTTCTCTTCCCACCGCCCATCGCCCAAGATGCGGAAAGGAAAGAAAGCCAAGGGGAAGAAGATGGCTCTGGCCCCTGCTGTCGTGAAGAAGCAGGAGGCCAAGAAAGTGGTGAATCCCCTGTTTGAGAAAAGGCCAAAGAATTTTGGCATTAGACAGGACATGCAGCCCAAAAGAGACCTCGCCCGTTTTGTGAAATGGCCCCGCTATAGCAGGTTGCAGTGGCAGGGAGTCATCCTCTATAAGCGACTAAAAGTGTCTCCTGCGATTAACCAGTTCACCCAGGCCCTGGACCACCAAACAGCTACACAGCTGCTTAAGCTGGCCCACAAGTACAGACCAGAGTCAAAGCAAGAAAAGAAGCGGAGTCTGTTGGCCCAGGCGGAGAAGAAAGCGCCGGCAAAGGGGACACTCCCACTAAGAAGAACACCTGTCCTTCAAGCAGGAGTTAACACCATCACCACCGCAGTGGAGAATGAGAAAGCTCAGCTGGTGGTGATTGCACAGGACATGGATCCCATGGAGCTGGTTGTCTTCTTGCCTGCCCTGTGTTATAAAATGGGGGTCCCTTACTGCATTATCAAGGGGAAGACAAGACTGGGACATCTAATCCACAGGAAGACTTGCACCACTGCTGCCTTCACACAGGTTAACTCAGAAGACAAAGGAGCACTGGTGGAAGCTATCAGAACCAATTACAACGACAGACCCAATGAGATCCATCGTCACTGGGGAGGCAATGTCCTGGGTCCCAAGCCTGTGGCTCCCATTGCCAAGCTCAAAAAGGCAAAAGCTAAAGAACTTGGCACAAAACTGGGTTAAATGTACACTGTTGAGTTTTCTGTACATAAAAATAATACAAATTTTCCTTCAAAAAAAACTGAGGAATTAACTATGTCTGTGGCATAAAACTGAAAAAAATTGAGATCAAATACATAGTCTCTGTGAGTGAGTTCCAAGGGCTGACCAAAGGAACAAAAATTGGAAGGAAGTGAGGGGAGGGGACGGGGAAAAAAGAACGAAGGGAGGAAGGGGAAAGGAGGGAAGAAGGGAAGAAGGGAGGGAGGAAAGGAAGGAAGGAAATAAAGGGAGGAAATGAAGGGAAGGAAAGGAGGGAGGAAGGAAGGAAGGAAATAAGGAAGGAAGGAAATAAAGGGAGGAAATGAAGGGAAGGAAAGGAGGGAGGGAAGGAAGGAAGGGAGGGAGGGAGGGGAGGAAGGGAAGGAAGGAAGGAAAGGGAGGAAGGAAGGAAGGAAAGGGAGGAAATGAAAGGAGGGAAAGGAGGAAATGAAAGGAAGGGAAGGGAAGAGAAGGGAGGAGGAAGGGAGGGAGAGGGGAGGGAGGAAAGGAGGGAGGGAAAGAAGGGAAGGAAGGAAGGGAGGGAGGGAGGGAAAGCAGGGTGGAAGGGAGGGAAAGCAGGGTGGGAGGGAGGGAAAGAAGAAAGGAAGGGGAAAGAAAACACAGGAAGGAGGAAATGGATGGAGACACTGCACGGAACTAAAAATATATACTGATTTGTTCACAGTAGGAATATGAAAAACAGTTGAATAAATTTTTTAAAATACTTCATAAGTACACCTTCATAAGTACAATATATACACAAAGTATATATTGTCTGTCTTTTTTTTTTTTTTCCTCTATTAAACTTAAATCCCAGCTAACAGGCTATGTTCACAGCAGCCAAATACTGCATAATGAGGTCAGTGGATTTTTCTTTGAGACTGTTCCACAAGTTTAAGCTCAGGTTGAGAGACACATTAGGCCTGGTGTACTCCTGTAATCATCATTGGCAGTGATTACTGTTCGGTAATCTAAGCTTCAACTGAATCCAACATTCTTGCCTCTGCTGAAAGATAATTCAGAGGTGAAAGATGAATTCCATAATGCTGACACAAACTGGTGGTATTCATCATAGTGCTTATTCACTAAATGCCCATTCTAGCCTGAATTATATGTCCACACACTCAGTATAGCCACACAAATATTATATATTATTACTTAATTTTTAAAGACTCCATTTTAGAAAAAAATCTAATGTCTCTTTAATTGCGTATTTTGAAAAATGTCTATTCTCCAGTAGTCACCTGAAACACACACACACACACACACACACACACACACTTTTCCTGGACCTTTTTACAGCAGAATAATTTCTCAGCATTATTAATTATGTTTCGGCATAAAACACATTTAGGGACTTTTATCCTTTGTTTACTTAGTTATCAAAATAATCAGTCACACAGCTCCTTAATAATGGGCCACTCTTAATAGGTGAAACAGAGTGGCTGTGTTCAAAAAATACCTCTAGTTCACTAGTAACTTACTAACTTTCTTTTCTTTTTTTTTTTTTCTTTGAGACAGAGTCTCGCTCTGCCACTCAGGCTGGAGTGCAGTGGTACGAGCTTGGCTCACTTGCAACCTCCACCTCCACCTCCCAAGGCTCGAACAATCCTCCCACCTCAGCCTCCTGAGTATCTGGGACCACAGATGCGCCTGGCTAATTTTTTCTATTTTTGGTACAGACAGGGTTTCACCATGCTGCTCAGGCTGGTCTCGAACTCCTGAGCTCAAGCAATCTCCCTGTCTTGGTCTTGCAAACTGCTGGGATTACAGGTGTGAGCCACTGTGCCTGGCCCTTACCAACACTCTTAAAACTTGAGCTAATTTCTTTCCTTTCATGAGATTTTATGGTCTGACACTGCTAACTTATTACCTTTTCTTCCTTGAGAGTTTCCAAATACTAAAACAACAATCTGCTCAACAAACAGAAGAATTCAATAAATGTTCATTGATCACCTAGTAGTACCTGCAAAGAGACCCTGTGCTATTATACACAGAGTTATTAGATTCAGATAACGTGCTTCACAAAAAAAAACAACAAAAAACCTAAGGGATGGTTTCAGATTCTGCCTGTGTCTTAGTTTCAGTCATGTTTGGTATATATTGCCAAGTGGCTATATTTTATATCCCCAACTAGAATACAAGTTTTTGGAGATCATACTCTATGTCTTATTACAGCACAAGACAGTGCAACACATAAAATATTGTCACCTACAACTGAAAGGATTCCAGTGAGGCTAAATGATGATTAGCTGTGTAAAACCCCACTATTCCATACATTGTATGTGCTTACAATGTTAGCTTATCCTCCTCTTCAGCAGCAAATATCTTCTAGGTGAACAGTAATAAAATAATAGTAAGGCTAACAGTCATGAGTATTTGTTTACATGTCCAATACTGTTCTCAATATTACAGTATCCATAGATTTCATCCTTGCAATAACACTAAGGGGTGCTATTATTATTATTCCCATTTTCAGATGAGAAAACTTGCCTAAGGCTATCCAACTAATAACCGAAAAAGCCAGGAATTAAACCCAAGCCAAACTGACCCCAGAATCCAATCTAAATTACTGTCTTCCCAAATTAGAGGTGTCACCACCAGACAGAAAAAGAAATACAGTCCAGGTAGAGGTTTCACCTCTGTAATTACAGGGCTCCTTAGTCAATTATTTCTAATTTTTGACACATACCTTCCCAATTTTCCTGGCAAAAACCTCCCTTGAGTGGAGGCCACTGACTGTGGTGAGTTTATGTTGTGGTTTGGTAATGTGTACAAACTGGGAGGAGGATGAGACCAGAAAACCCCTTTTGCCCATAGCACGCCACAAATTGAGGACTGAGTCAGTGCATGCTGCTGACAGGCAAAGAGCCAGCTCGGCCTGAGCAGCAACATGCAGGGACTGCATGTGACACCAGACACCCTTTTCAAAGCCACTACCTTCCTCCTTCCCCACAAACCTCTTCATCTCCCACCAAAGTCCTGAAGCTTCACCACAGGATCAAGTAATCCCCCTCTAAGCCACATCTCGTAAATGACAGTCTAATTTCTCCCACATGTCATTTTTCACATGAATGTTACTATGGTCTTGGCTGTACTTAACCAGAGTTCAGGGTCTGATGGTTTATCTGTACAGAGACAACGTGACCACAGAGAAGAGCCCGGTTCCATTGCCACCTGAAAGACAGATCCACCAACACAATGTTCACCACTTTCTCACACAGGGCTAAATGAGACTCAAGGAAAGAGCCCACGGTCAAACGTTTCCTGGGTTGAATTGAGGTGGTGGGTTCCCATACAGAGCACAGCACCATCAGATTCACAAAGCCAAATGCCTCAGCATGATGATATGACAAGATGACAAGCTGCACACAATGTTCAAAATCTAAATTCGAAGGTCACTTCCCACTCCCTAAATAGTTTTATCCCCCAAAAGTCACTTTAGAATCATCTTTCCACTTTTATTCCATATTTGTAATCTGATTTTAATGATCCCGGTGTAGGCCATTTTTTTAAACTCCAGACAGGTTCTGATTCATCTATACAACAAAGCAATATGCAGTGTTAATAAAAGACTAAGAGGGCAAACCAGTATGTGTTCAATGTGATGGCAGTTTAGATTTTTTATTTCAATTGGCAATCATTCTGACATCAAGGTTAAATTGTCCTAAAAAAGAAAAAAAAAAATCACGCCTCATTCCAAATTTGGTGATTCAAGAAAAATTGAATTATTCTCATATGTGGCAAAACAAGAAATGACTTTACATCTCAGAAATGTTAGTATGAACTATTAAATTCATAAAGACAGACATGGCTTAAGTTTTTATTTTACTACTTTGAAGTTGTAATGTATTCATTTTCCTGGTATTTTTACTTAAAATATCTTTTTTTTTTTTTTTTCTTAAGGACTCTTCACAAGTACTTTTGATAGAGTGGTATAAAATTATCCTATTCCAATGACCATAATATGAAAATCATTTTGCCAGAAAACATCCTAGAAGTTTCCCTCATTTTAGGTACTTGGGATGATTGTCATAAACTGAGGACCATTCAACAATGTTTTGAAGATATATACTATTCTATTCAGAGGACAAGGCATATATTGAGAAAAATGCAAAAATATTCATCTTTTCTCAAACAACTCCAGTATTAAATTCATCTAGACCCACTGATTCACTCAATCTATTTTTTAAGTTTAGTTTACAATATGATATTATTTTTGTCCTCATCCCTTCTTTGCAACACCCCACCCATAAGGGAAAAGAAACAGAGATGAATGAATAACAAAATCGTACACAAATAAAAATGAAATATTTTCTGATAACTAGCATGTCAGAGTAGACAAGTTATTTTTTTCCACTATCACTTTCTTACATGATCTGCAGCAAAATTATGTTGCCTCTGTTTTATGAATCATCAATATATCATAGCCTAGCCTTTTTCATATATAATGGGAAAAATATTGCAGATTATAACTACCGTTTTTGACATGGAGATATTTTAAATTCAGTTTTATGACATGCTTATGTTCTTTTCATCACTGAATAATTGCTCATTTCCAATACTAAACTGGTATTTCTTTAAACAAAGTCCATGTTACTGCACTAATGGTAACTTTAGGATTTGGAAGGAAAAGGATCACAACTGATAAGCAAATGCAATGACGAGCACTGACAAAGACTCAACATTTATTAGAAGGCAATTGCTAGAGAATGTGGCTTTAATTGTGCATACATATTTTTATTCATTAAGATGAATAACCAATAAAATCCCACACTATGGTGTCCCAGCCTCATAACACATTAATAAAGTTTCTTAAAGGTTTTGGCAGGGGGCCAGCACAGTCCATTAACTCTTTGCAAGTTGTAAAAAGAAGTAAAGTCATTTCAGTGTGTTTTGTGGTTATGAATGAAACAGCAGGCAGCCTGTATGGAAACGTCACTTTGGATATGGTATTGGTAATGGACGCTTTGCTGCGCAAT